TACGTAAATATAGCAAATTGAGAAATGACAGTGTGTTGTTGTCATGTCAAATGTGTTCACAGTAAGAAAGTAATTGGGATTTATTGCGTAGCTCCCGCCAAAAGTTTTCACCTGCTCATGCTTTTCAATTTTGTATATCTCTTTAAGATCCCATATCTCACCATCTTCACCTATTCAAGCTGTAAATAACCCTTTTTGTGGCGGTGCTTCTTTCTCACAGGTGTCTTTTTTTTCTCTAAATATATTTCATCTCTTTGTGTCGTCACATCATCTCCCTCCCAGGAGCAGACTGTCAGACGGTGCAGCCTGCAGTGGGAAGCAGCAGTCTGAGAGATCAGTTTAGAGACACAGCTGTGCTTCTCGGCGATCTCACACAGGGAGCCTCCAACTGGATCCAGTCCTTTCTGAACCCCATGCTGACTTCAGGGGGCTTGCACTTACCATCATCAACGCAGAGAAGCTCCCAGAGCAATGAAACTCGCAGGGTATCCACTAACACCCCCACACCAAACTGTGGAGGTTACACGGTTTACCCGCAGGGCTTCGAACCCCTGCGCTCAGAGTGCCTGGCTTTTATCCGTCCATCGTCCTCCCCCATTATAAGGAACCCGTTTGTGTCGCCCGTGCTGGCTCCTAACAACCTGCTGAGAGGCCTGCCACCTGTACACATAGTGGTAAGCGAGGGAAGAAGAACTAAAGGAGGCTGAGGGTGGAAGAGTCTATATTTTCTAGCAATACTGTTTAATAATTTCACAGTTAACCACTTAGTCTCATTTATTTTCAACATGGTGTGTATCTTCAGCAGCTACGGACTTTGACATGGGCTTTCCATAGATTACTACGGAGGACAGCAGAACATCTTCTTGTACCTCAAGTCTCAAATCATGAGATTAAAGAGGTTATTAAAAATGATTAGCCTGATTATAAGGCTGAATTGACATTTGTTTATTAACACATACATTTGTTTATTGACGATTATTTCATCTCTCTGAACAAACATAATAATGATAATGATTATTATCATTGAATGAATATGAATTGCCACCCATATCTCAGGTTTGTTACAAACCTGAGATATGGGTGGCAATTCATATCTGGAACCAGACTATTTTACTAATTAGTACAAAATTACAACATGGCTGGGTTGAGTTCATAGCTTAATGACATTTATGCCAGATGCTGGTAATTTAATCTGGTATTTTACTCCCAAAATTTCCTTTCCAAAGTGTCGGCTGGTTTTGGACACCATATTCCAGCCCTTGGCATTTCAAAAGTTTTACAGTTTTTTGTTTAATCATTCTTTAGATATTAGATTACTGTACTCTTTGCATGTTTATTTTTATTTTTTCCCTACAAATCATGCAAACCAGGCCGTATTCACGGCAAATCAGGCCACGTGGTGAAAACACCAGTCCCCTTCATTTGAATAGGGGTCGTGCATTTAAGCTGCACTTAGGTCAAGCGAGCTAGAGAGTGGATGAAGAAGAGGGAGCTGTGGTAGCAAGAAAGCCGGTGAATCACAGAAATAAAACACTATTTTCTGATTGTTTCAAAGCAGTTACGTTCTAAAGCACAAATAAACACAGCCACACTACCACACAACACTGCACTAATTGCCACAACGCCTGATTTGGTGTGCGTACAGCTTAACATTTCTGCACTCCATTTTCCGAAGCATACCATGCTGCACTAATCAAGGTTTGTTTTTATAATACTTTGGATCACATTGATGTGGAAGTGACAAAAACTCTAGTTCCCCTCATCTCTCTGGATCTTTTAGTCTGTTTTGGATGATTGTATTTATTTATTTTTGGCCAAGACCTCTGCACTTTCATCAACCCAGTTTTCATTGATTGCAGTTTTCAGTGAAACAGCTCTGATTGAACTCACTATATGCTACCTGCTCAGCAAAAAATGACAGGCTGACAAAGTTAATGACTAGCTGGTGAACTTTGTGGAGCATTAGAGGAAGATATTTCTCCCCAAGAATGTGTTTATGTAAAAGCTAAAAACAGTATTAAAAAAACATCCAGTATCAGTCAGGCTCTCCTCCTTTTAGTCCCTGTAGAGTTTGCATGTTTTCCAAATAACTGTTCTTGTTTCCTAATTCCTCTTTCCTCACAGGCCTCTGCTCTGGATGCCTTGCTGGATGACTCTGTGATGTTTGCCAAGAAGCTGCGAGACATGGGCCAGCCTGTGAGTCTGACGGTGGTGGAGGACCTTCCCCACGGCTTCCTCAGCCTATCGCAGCTTGCCAAAGAGACGGAAGTCGCTGCAGAAATCTGCGTGGAGCAAATGAGGAAGATTTTTCAGCAAGAAAACCCGATGCCTGCTCTTCGCAAACGATCCAAGTTGGAAGAGACTTATCTGAGTACCAATCCTTCAGGCTGATGTATCTGTCATTTATGGGACTTGATTGACATAATGTGGTGAGAGAGCTGCAATAAATGTAAGAAAGGGAAACCAGTCAGGAAGAATTATGAGGACGCCACACAAGCTGTAAAACTTGTGGAAGCTTAGGGGCACTACGACCTATACTGCACATTTTATGTAGGCACCAGCTATAATATGATCCTAATCAACAAAAATTAAATAACTAAATATTTTTCTAACAAGATTTACGTGTTTAGGATCCAAATCAAATGCACATTATGAATATTATGACAGAAACGTCACCGTAACCAGCCCTCGTAGCAATCTCTTAACTGATACATGTCAGGAATCGGAGCTGTTGTGCCTTGACTTTAAAGTGCTGCTGTATGTTGCGTAGTGTATGTAGAGAAACTTTGCCTACATTACCAAACTGACCAGGATTTAAGGTTTACCGGAAACACATTTCAGATGCACTGGATTATGGTTGTTATGATTTATTATTTGGCTTAAATGTATAATATAATTCTTCCAGTTTGTCATGTGTTTACAACATATTGATAAGGAGGCCTTCACCTTGTATTTACCAGCATTGTATGTGGGTGTTAATACTGTAAATTCATTCTTAATATATTGAACACAGTGTTATATTTAAAGTCTGAATTAAATCAAAACTGCAGAGATTGCGTGTGCTTATTTGAACCTATTTGATATATGTTGAGTAGTGAATTGAAAAGGTACATCACGATGTTAAGTGGGACACTTAAGTGTTAGTGTGTTAGCTCCTGCCGGCACAACCCGATAAACCTCTTGACCCTGTTCAATCAGCCATTGTGGTTATTTTTAAATATGTTGTGTAGAAACATTGTTGAACTGGGTTTCACAGGTGGATGATTACTATTATTATTGTACACAAGTCAACACATGTCAAACTCAAACATAACACTTATACTGGCAGATTAACCTCTGACTTTGAGTTCATAACACCGCTTGACATGTCCCATCCCTCATGGTAACTCTACACCAAGTGTTTGCACTGTTTGCTCCTGTCGCACAGTTCACATAAGGTATGAAAGGTTTTTCTGGTACCAAGTCCCTCTTCCTCAGCATCTTATTACTGGTAACTCCTCATTATCAGCTGTCAATGATGTTGACATGGGGTGCAAACATACTTTAAATTTGAGGAGGTGAAAAAGATGCCTCCCTGTCTGCAGAGGTCCAAATCAAAAGCCACAATGTTGTTCTTTTCTTGTGTTGGTTGGTGACAATGGTAGGTTTGAGTGAAAATAAACCTTTTACATGATTGATTTTTGACAAATACCTTCTCGAGACTTTAGAATAAAACTTTTTGTAAGGTATAAAAATATATCCAAGATATATTGTACATTTCCGGGTCATGACGCTGGCCAGTCCATGAGAATTTGTACGTGTGATTCAAAAAACAAACAACAATTTGGTCATTTAATACCGTTTTTTTTCTGTATGATATGAAAATCTATTGGCATCCTCTTGAAACTAGCTTTAGTTATGTAATCGATCATATTTAACATCAAGTCTGCATGTACTTTGTCATTATTAAGTATAAACTCTGCCCTTTAACCTACTCCCTCCACAACAATAATGTATCTTTGACAAATTAAATGCCTAGATAATAGAATGAAGTTTCAAGATACTTCTTATTGATTTTCATGATGGACAGAAATTAATGGAACACTTGCTTGAAATTATTTTTAAAATATATGTCCAAAAATTTAAAAGCAAAAACATAAATCATATTTGATTTCCAGTTATAAGAATCTAAACAATGTAAATGCAATTGTATGGTCCTGTAAAAGTTCCCTTTATATTTTCCTTGAGAGCTGTTGCCAGCATACTTTTAACTGGCATAAAAGTAAACTATCACTGCAGTGCTTTTACTCAAGTAGCATATTCTGGCAGCACTAAGGATACAGCGGTCACTTCAGTCTTTGTTTGAGTGTGCTGATGTTAAATCTTAGATGATCCTTCACATGGAGTATTTTCTGATTATAAACGCCATCAGGAAGACAATTTAGAGCTAGTAGACGCAGAGGTAATCGTTTTAAACTGTCTTTCCTCCCCACCTCAGTTTCTTTACTCAATAAGCAAAGCCCTCGGTGAAGGCAAGGGGCAACAGATTTTTTTTAGGTCTTACGATTACACAGTTTGGTTAAATATTGTATTGTAACTCCAGGTGATCTTGGTCTGCAGTTTTTTTGTGTTTTTTTAGCTTAATTATTATTAACAGCTGTATTTATTTATTGTGGAAAGGTACATTTATATATTATCTTACTTATATTTAACATGGATTTTTATTCATGTATGGTCTACTGTTATCTCTTCTCTTCTGTTGCAGCACCTCTCTGGGTTGACGTGTGGTTGTATGTCTTGTATGCGAAGCCGCAATGTACACGATGGGCCCAAGACAATAAAGTTCATCTAATCGAATCTAATGGAGAACAAAGTTTTGAAAATACAGATTTATTTTAAAATGTACCATAGACAGTACAAAATAATCTGAGCACTTCCTCCTGCAGCAGTAAGTAGGTGTGACGGCAGGTGGCAGTAGCGTCGTAGAATCTCGCATCTAATAAACAGGAGAGAGACACCGAGGAAGAGGAGACGAAGAAGAAGGCGACCATGTTGATTTAAAGGAAGAAACACAATAGAGGCGATTTATTTCAAGTAAAATTCAGTTATTAAAACGAATTGTAAGGAAAGTAGTTGATCAACCACACACTGAGCATCTCTTGTAAAACAACAAAGAAACTAAGGTAGGTTTGTGGTGACATGGAAACGTCCAGTTTCCGTTAAAAACACCGGAGTTGTTGTGAGCTGATTAGCACAATGCTAACGTTAGCGAGTGGAGTTATTTGTGCTAAATTAGCTTCGATAATTGTGCCTCGTAGCTTTTAACGATAATTTTACAAATAACGTAACGTGAAATATATGTAACGTTGTTGTCACTACACTTTACACATATATTGTTGTATTTCGTTACCAAAAGTCCGAAATGCGGGAGTTTGAGCGGCTTAGCGGTGACTTAGCGTAGAGCTAACACTGGCTTAGCTGTAACTCCGTAGCTGAACGTTGCTAATGTTGTTTCTCCTGAGACGCAGCGCCAAAGGTAACGTTAAGTTGTTGATTTAAAAGGGAAGATGGGTAAAAATCTATCACAGCCACGGCGATGGTTTAAATATTTTAAAGTTAATGTTAACTGTTTTGCAGAAAAGGTTTAGAAAACTGGGAGGGGGAGTAAATTGACGTTTAACGTTATCTTAATGGAAAACGGACGCTAAAGTTAATAAACATGGTCTGAGCATCGGTTTTTGACAATCGATATAAACTGCTATTATTATGTTTGTTTCAGTCAGACCTAGAGTCTTTACTGTAGATCAGTGTTTTATTTTAAATCCTGGCAGTTTGCGCTTCGCTAATCTGTCTCAGATGCTGCCACCTGGCAACTTCACCTGTGCAATCTTAAACCAAACCATTTAGCGAATTAGTTGTTGAATCCTTCCCTTGTTGTTGTGAGGTCTAGCTTGATAATTATTTTATCAATGTTGCATCTAACTCTTGTTTGCATTGTTGCTTTATGTTCCAATAACGCTGAAACCGACAGCTCCTATATTCTTTAAATGTCAGCAATGACAAACCCCCATCACAAGTTTCCAGAGTAAAAAAGCGATGTGTTGAAATTGCTTTGGTTTCTGGAATAAAATCAGTGGGGTTGCCATATTATTAACAACATAGGTAGTCAAAACAATCATTTTATTTAGCAAAGTGCTGAACAAAATTATGCAATAATAAAAAGGCCAATCAATTTATGATATACAACAAAAAGCTATATAAACAAGACAGTTAAAGTGTGCCTAAACAGACGCCAAAGAATAAAAATCCGTTTTAAGACGAGACTTGGTGGTGGGGAACAATCTGATAAAATTTAACCAGAACAAAGAAATATGACCACATTACTCCTGTTTTAGCTTCATTACACTGGCTCCCAGTATGTTTTAGAATTGACTTTAAAATTCTATTGATCACTTTTAAAGCTCTTCATGGCCTCTCGCCTTGTTATATTTCTGAACTTTTAGTCCAATACACACCAGCACGTACCTTGAGATCCTCGAGCAGAGGTCTGTTGTCTGTTCCAGAGTCTCGACTGAAAACTAAAGGGGACAGAGCGTTTGCTGTCAGGGCCCCGAGGCTCTGGAACAGCCTGCCCGAGGAAATCAGGTCGGCTGAGTCAGTGAACTCTTTTAAGTCCCTTCTTAAAACATACTTTTATAGGAGAGCCTTTCCCGATCTTATTTGACTTTATTTTATCCCTTTTATTTTATTCTATTTTACTTATTTTATATTTATCTTAAACGTGTATTTTAGTCTTTTCAATGTTTTCATGCTTTTATCTTGTATTGTTTTTGTATTATTGTCTCTTGGGTATTATTGTCTTTACACTTGTTAAAGCACTTTGTAACGTGTTTTTGAAAAGTGCTCTACAAATAAAGATTATTATTATTATTATAATCGGAGGAAGTTTATTGCATGGCCGTTACTGAAAAGACACGATCACCCTTTGTTTTAATAGGAGACCATGGGATGGCTGAAAAGGAATTTGTTTGATCTGAGGGTTCTGGAAGAGTTTGGAGATCAGAAATATAAGACAGTCCATGTAATGCCTTAAAAATAATTAACAGCATCAATTCTATATTTGACTGGTAACCAGTGAAGAGCAGCCAATATTGGTGAGATATGATCACTCTTCCTTGCATCAGTCAACAATCTAGCAGCTGCACTCTGAACAAGCTGCAAGTGTGATGACGAGCGATGCATTAGGCTTATTTAGAGAGCTGAAATTAATAGTCAACATTTGATTAAAGGTTACACTTTTAATAACTAGTAATTATTAAATTATTTAAAAAAAAAAGTTATTTCTTTAACTAATTATTGCTTCTTAATTGTAAAGACTGCTGACTTTCTTTGCTCACAAGCTGAATAGAGTTGTGTGTGGACCGTTGGTCAGACATACCAAGCAAGCTTGATGAAAATAGTTAGTTGAAGCTGTATGTAATCTGACTTAAACGACTGAGAAAACCATATATATCTGATAAAAAGATTTTTCTTTTTAGGTGACAAGTTTGAGTTGTTGGCTGACTTTGAGGAGGCAGCGGGTTGATCACGGCCACACGCGCACACTTCACACACTGACCTGAAGACCCGTGGTGTCTGTGGGGAGAGGGTCAAACACCTGGAGGAGAAAAGAAACGCACACTGAGGACTCAAAAGGGGCGGAAAGCTTTTTTGCTTTGGACTAGATAACCCCTTGTAAGATTTGTGATTTCAGGATCCAGTTTTTTTTCTCCTGTAGACCGACACACATCCACACAGTGGAAATAAACGGAGAGCATTACAGACTACATGATTTTGGGGGGAAACTTGTACAAAGTTGGACATCCTTGTTTTCAAGGACCGGGATATTGAGCAACTTCTACGGACTCAAAGTGGAAACAGGAAGTATTGTTCAATTTAGAAACAGAAGTTTTAAGTATTGAACAAAGATTATATTGAAGAAACCCCAAGTTCAGATTGCCTTAGTTGTTCTATTTCAGGACTTGAACCGCTTTGATACTTGTTCACATATAATTTTTCTATATTGTGGGCAAGTATATTCATGCATATGAATGCAAATTTCTCTTCATTTTGAAGAGCTCTTGTATAAAAACTTTTTTGTTGTTGTTCTTGTACGTCAGTCACTCTGTTGTTGAAGGGGACCGAACTGCACGTACATGTGTATATGTAAATACTATGAATTGACTTCTGTTGTGAAAGCTTTGGACTTAAGAAGAGAATATTGTTTGTTAATGATTTATTAAGCTTTTTTACTTTTGAAGAGAATTTTTAAAAAGTAAAACCTAAGAGGCAAAAATCTAATACCTTGAGGAAGAAGAAAAAAAACAAAAGCAAGGAAAACAGGAAAAATGGCAACCGCCAGAACAGAAAACGTTGGCCCAGTCGTCATGGGACTGAACAAGCAGAACGGGCAGCTCAGAGGACAGACTAAACCAGCTTCAGTCCAGCCAGCACCCACAACTCACGTAAAGACTTTGGGTGCACCCCAGATCGCAGGTGGAGCCTCCCAGGACGGAGTAGGCATCAAGTTTGGAGATGATTGGAAAAAGAGCCTAAAGCTCCCTCCCAAAGACACCAGGGTCAAAACTTCAGTGAGTATAACTTGAAAACATTTTTTCGATCCTACTTTTAGCCCTAAAACTATCTTTTTAAGGTCACTCTAACCATTCTGTATCCACTGTAGGATGTGACGTCCACTAAGGGGAATGAATTCGAAGATTACTGTCTCAAAAGAGAACTGCTGATGGGCATCTTTGAGATGGGTTGGGAGAAACCTTCCCCTATCCAGGTGTGGTTCATTGTCAAATTTACTTTGCTGTCCAGAAGAACCCAATGTGATATGTTATTGAGAATAGCATTTTTATTGTCTCTGGATGTAATTGTGTATTTCCTTTTCTTGCATATTTTCTGTTTTGTAGATTACAGTAGAGAAATGTATAAAACAACATAATGTCAGTGGTGGATTACAAAAATCTGAATTGTAAATGCAGCTGTATGTTAATGACATGTCACATAATAAGACTGGAGACCATATTTGTGTTTCCTTGCAGGAGGAGAGCATTCCCATCGCCCTGTCTGGACGGGATATTCTGGCTCGGGCTAAGAACGGAACAGGGAAAAGTGGAGCCTATCTCATCCCACTGCTGGAGAGAATAGACCTGAAAAAGGACCACATACAGGGTGAGAAGCTGCCTGTAGTTTTAAACGGATGTCTCCCTAATAGAAGCTTTCCTCCCTCGTCCTCCATCCTTAACTTGCATGCACAATTCCTTTTGGTCATCATTTCTCTTCTGTCGTGCTTCCTTCCTCATTTGTGCCCACAGTGTCCCTTTTCTGTAGTCAGTAAGCTGTTTGGCCTTGTTTGTTCTACACGTGAAATCTTTTTTACTATCCACCATATTTCTAACCTGCAAATTTTTATACCCTAGCACTTGTCATGGTGCCAACCCGTGAGCTGGCACTGCAGGTGAGCCAGATCTCGATCCAGATCAGCAAACACCTCGGAGGAGTTAAAGTCATGGCCACCACCGGGGGCACCAACCTGCGAGATGACATCATGCGCCTGGATGAGACTGGTAAGAATCCTCACTGGCCTACTTTGTCCAAAAAGGGCCACTACGCACACAGTTATCACAATATCAGAAATGGGTAAATGTGATCTGCCTGTTGGCTTATGGAGGCCAGCTTGTGTTTCAGAAAGGAGGAGCTTTTCTGATTCTTTTTAAAGGTTGCACTTCAATAAGATTAAACACAAGTGAACAGACAATTAAAAGGATAATTATATTTCAGTGTTTGACCCTTTTGTGCAATTGTCATTCTCTCTACATCAGTGCATGTGGTCATTGCCACACCTGGTAGGATCCTGGACTTGATAAAGAAGGGAGTGGCAAAGGTGGATAGAGTCCAGATGATGGTGATGGATGAGGTAAACATGAATAAAAACAATTAAAAATACTAAAACCATTTGTACATATTGTCTAAGGCATCTCATTTTTATCAGGTATTCTTACAAGCCTGCGTCATTCCATGTTCATCAAAACCAGTTTCGGACTGCAGCTTTGCCTGCTTCATGTTAAATTCTCTCCATTTCCTCTCAGGCGGATAAGCTGCTGTCTCAGGATTTTGTGGTGCTCATCGAGGATATCATCAGCTTCCTGGCCAAGAACAGGCAGATCCTGCTCTACTCTGCAACCTTCCCCATCAGCGTGCAGAAGTTCATGGTGAGTAGTCAGCTAATTGCTGCACCACTCAGCCAACCTGATGGCTCGGGGCCACTTGGCACCACTTGGCTCCAAGACCAAGCTGTTCTAACACTGCGTGCAGACCTGTGTTTGTGTTTTTATACTTTTTCTGGGCTGTCTTCGCCTAAATTATTTCAGCTCAGTCAGTCGCAGGATTTGATTGTTTAGTGTAAAAGTCTTCGACATTGTCCTTTTGGAATGGAGTCATGCAGACTACATATGTAAATACTACAAGTAGGACAACAAACCACAACATCAAACAACACATTTCATATTCAAAGGATGTTCTACGTGCTTCTACGGGTGTGTTTTTTTTTGGTTGTTTTATTTTTTAACATTTTAAATTATTTGTTCTGTCCCCTTGCTGTAGGCCAAGCACCTCCAGAAACCTTATGAGATAAACCTGATGGAGGAACTGACTCTGAAGGGCATTACTCAGTACTATGCCTACGTCACAGAGAGGCAGAAAGTCCACTGCCTCAACACGCTGTTCTCCAGGGTAACTACCTCATTCACCATCGATGTCACACAAAAAACACAAATAACTTGAGTGGCAACACGGTACCGCAGAGCATCTAGAGTTTTTGAAAAATCTAGGTTAACGTGTAATTAACGTGTAATTTATTAATTCCTCTTTTAACAGTAAATCAGTCAATTTAGGATTTTGATTTCTTTCTCTTTTTTTCCTTTTTAGCTTCAGATCAACCAGTCGATCATCTTCTGTAACTCCACTCAGAGGGTGGAGCTCTTAGCCAAGAAGATCACTCAGCTGGGCTACTCCTGCTTCTACATCCATGCAAAGATGATGCAGGTGTGTGTGCAGAAATGCTTTGCTGCATGATTATTTCAAATTGGATTTGAGTAGAATAAAACTGGGTTTGTAGCCTGGGTTTCCCTGATAGCCGAATGGTGGTTTGATTCCAACTCGGGGCCGAGTCACGTGTCATACCCTGTCTCTCCTCATGTTTCCAGTCTACCTCCATACAGCCCAGCCTGTGTGGATAACTTTTTATATATGATAAAGACCACTGATAAATATATAAAATACAAATAACCATGTAATAAAACAAACTTAGATTATTTTGGACCATAGCATTAAAGTATGAATGTTAATTAATGAAGCTGGCTGATGTCCTGGAGGACTAGAGGTCGTATTTAATCCTCCATATCTGTTTCTGGGTAAAATGGCCAAAACGATCTTAATGTGGCTTAAAATGTTTTGGTTTTGTCTTTTGTTTATAGCCAGTAGCCTCTTTTGTAGCGTTTTATGTCTTGTTTCTTTTCAGGAATATAGAAACCGTGTGTTCCACGACTTCAGAAATGGACTGTGCAGAAACCTGGTCTGCACTGGTGAGTTTATTTTCATTTCAAAACTGACCAACTAGTGTTCTCCAGAAAGGCACAAAGGTTATCGGAGATTATAATCCAGTTTTCCACTGTCTTCCGATAGATCTCTTCACCAGAGGTATTGACATACAGGCTGTCAACGTTGTCATCAACTTCGACTTCCCGAAGAACGCTGAAACTTACCTCCATCGTATTGGAAGATCAGGTATGTTTACTCCTTTTGATAATGTGCACTGATTTGTTATATTCACTCTTCATTGTCTCAACTGTTGTAACAGGTTTGGTTTTGAAAAGAAATGCAAAGCTAAATGATGACAAACCTGAACATAAGCAAGAAATACAAGCAGTCAAATAATCTGTAGCTTTTTTTTTTTTATGCAATACAAGTTGTTCAAATTATATACTAGTTCTTCGTAAGACCATAAATGCAGCTCCATCTGCCCTGTTTTGCTTTTCACTATGATAATATATGGACACTACAGGATGCAGAATCTGAATTGGCGTTCATTCTACTATAAATCAGAACCAAAATCTACAGTAAAGCCTGTCTTGTTCAGGAATAAATCAAATGAATACTATGGGTAGGTAGAAGACGTTATGGTGAAATTGTATATTAAATATATTCTCTCACTCAGGGAGATTTGGTCACCTGGGCTTGGCCATCAACCTGATCACATCAGAGGACCGCTTCAACCTGAAGGCCATCGAAGACCAGCTGGTGACGGACATCAAGCCCATTCCCGGCAGCATCGACAAGAGCCTCTATGTGGCAGAGTTCCACTCATCCGACGCAGACTGTGATGTGGAGGAGGTTGAGGAGAAACCAGGACGCCAACAGGACAGCACCTAAAACAGGTGAGATGCTTTGAGATCAGACGTTTTATTATGTAAACATATTTCATTATGTTTTCGGGTTGTCGTGAACACCTGGAAGGAAATTCTTCAAATTTGGAGCAAATGTTGACTTGGACACGAGGACAAACTCATTAGAATTTGTTTGTCAATGTGGCCTCTTGACCAACACTAAAGAATTGATGAACATATTTCACAGTTGGTCTGACAATGATTTGGTGGCATTTTTGACTCAAAGGTCACTGTGACCTCAAAATGACCTTGACATACATAACTCAATGATTTATGCGGTAATTATGAAAAAACACAGATGTTGACCAGAATACAATGAAGTGATGACTTTTTTTACCCGAAAGGTCCGCTTCACTGTCAACATCAGAACTTAGGAACAGAACAGATTGTGACCATTGTTAGCAGTTGGTCAGACGCTGAATAGGTGACACTCGGGCTCAAAGGTCATTGTGACCTCCAAATAGGTTTTTAGCCATAATTTAGAAATGAATTGGGTGAGTCCAGATTTTACACACTTATTGACTGGGATGATGCAAAGACTAACAATGACTTTGACAGCACAGGCTTTTCTCCATCTCGTCCATTCTCCCACTTTCTGCCGTAATTTGAATTTCGAGTGTTATTGTGATCATGTGCACCGGCCTAATCGTGGCCCTGTCAGTGAGTTTCATGTACAGCTCCTAGAGAAGCTTTGCATCTAAAAACAGAAGCACATCTTTGCAGCTAGGGCTGTCGCAGTAAAGTAATTTCCCCCGCGGTAATATGTTGGGGCTCAACAGCGTGGTATGCGTTATTGCATTTTTCATCAATGAAGTAATTTGGTGCCATAAAGCATAGTAAGAGTGTCTGTGGATCTCACCTCACTGCACAGAGAGCCGCTAACAGCAGCTTTATGGTTGGAGTAAGCTAGCTGCTGAGTGCTAGTAAACAACATTACCAAGCAAACTCATTTTTGTAGTTTGACCGTGTCTTTTTCACGCGCAGCGTTAGCTATATCGTCACCTTCAGGCATGTCTATCAAGTCAATTTACATACCGCAGCAACGCAAGCACACACGCCTTTGCAGAGCAGAATGGGCTGTCCACAACTAAACACTGTGCTGTAGTAACGTTATAACTAAATTTCCACAGAAAGCAACATGAAAAACAGCTGCAGGCATCCGACACACTCGTTAGTTAGTGAGATTCAAATGAGGCTTACCGCTCAGTTTCTCTCGACTATCCCTCAGTATTACATTAAGTCCAACATTGCCGAGCTGCTAGCCACATAAGCCGCGCAATTTGCTTAATGCCAAATTAGCTAACCTTTAAAATAAACAGTTAAACAAGACAAAACACGGCAATACTTGCAGCTTCCACGTTTGAAGTCAGGTCACGTACAGCCCATGGCGATCCGTCCTTGAACCGTTACAGAGCTCGTTACGGTTGTGGAACTTTTGAAGCACTAATTTATTAATTTAACACGCCCTGAAGTGTAAAGTATCAACGTTGCGGTGCTTGCCATCCTCCGCAGTAGGCTTGACCAATAGCGCGGCATCTCAATTTTGCGGTTATCGCAACAGCCCTATTTTTAGCTGTGCACTATAAGAATCCATCTGTACAGTGTAATTAATTGCATGTACCTGTTTAGCAAATACATCTATGATAATCTTTCATTAATCAGTTCAACAATGTATATTCACTGAAATCATATCTTCCATTGAGTTATTAAATTCCTTCCTGGTATTCACTACCTATATTATTTGAGTACAGTGGCGGGGCAGGGATTCTAGTTGCATGGAAAATGTAAGACCCGTCTTCCTAATGTGAGTTTTGTCTTCCCTCCAGGACAGCAGGACACACGGGGGCTTTTGCACAGACATCAGCGCTTGCTTACAAGCTTCAGGCAACTCTTCAATTTCACACTTCTCACCTGTTCTCAGTCTGTTGAATGGATGTAAAGGCTGTTTATTTTTTGTTTTTAAGCATTTCTTTAGTTTTTCCTCAAAGACAGCTGCCTCATTGTTTTTAATGAAAATTAAACTTCATTGTTTTGCACCAAACTCCACGACGATGCATCCTGTGTATGAGTTTAGCGTATTTTTCCTAAAATGTATCTTGGTTAGACAGCACTTGCGATTGAAACAGGCACAGCAGTGCTAATGAGTATCAAAACAGTTTTGAACCCGTCACCCTCGGAGACAGTTTTAATTGCCAGCAGCAAGGTTGATCTCTTTTTATTGTTACAATGGTGCACTTAACACCAGCCATCGTTCTGTCCACGTACACTGTTGTTGTCACTCAAGTGCCTTACTTACTCCCATGTGTACTCATCCATTCATAGCCTGCTGTTTCTGTCATGCAGCAGAGTACGAGCACAAATTATATGAATTTAATAGTAACCCAAGTTTATTTAAACATCCGTTATGCAAGGGGAAAAGACGCACACTGTCCTGCTGAGAGGTGTGTGTGGAAACACGGCTCAAACATCTTTTAAAAAAACAAACAAAAAAACATCCTGAATGTGAACGTTTAGTTTTAATGTGAACGTTGCAATAAAAAAAGGGCAGCTTTATTTAAATACTGCGTGACTGTTTTTCCCTTTTGCTATGAATAATACATAGGCAGAGTTAATACAAGAAGAGATACAAGTCCCCATACTGATTCATGGATGTTGAACTGCAACCACACAAACGGCATGCGAAACGAATAGCAGCCCCATGCTGTTACATTATGGCTTTTGCTGGTTAGTTTTCCCACAGACAGCTGTCGTCTGGAGGTTCTTTTACATAAAATATCATCATATTGGGCTGGTGAATACTGTAAACCCGTCGTCCACTGTAGCTGGTAAATAAATGGAAAAACTGGTTTCCTGTCCTGTACGCATCTACGGCGCAGGACTAATGCATCAGAGACTGGTTCAGAACAGTTTTGATTACTAAGGTGATGCAAAATTTGAGTATCAATACATCCAATGATTAAATGGTTTCTCTGGAATTCGGTGCAAAACAAAAGTTAGAATTTTCTGTCATTGTCTTTTTCCCCTACTGCTTCACATACAGTTGAAATACAAGGTGGACTTAATAACGGAGCATTTTGCAAAACCTTTGGTAAAACATTATTTTTGAGCCCCATCATGGAAAAAGTTGGTGAATGTATTAGTTGCCAATGTGTACTCTCGATAGTCCAGTGGTTGAATGCCAAGCTCTTAAGTATATTTGACAGTTGTCCTTTGTATTGCTGCTGTTGCATTAGAAACTGCTCTACAGGCTTTTATGAAAGTGTATACTGGATATGAAATGGTTCCACGGGCCACAGAGCGATGAAACCTGCTCAGTCTATAAAGGCCCACGTTGATCGTCAATTGAACTACGACTAAAATTTGAAGAAAGGGTCAATTTTCTTTCTGCTGCAGCAGCAATATATATATATATTTTTAATTTTTTCTCCCCCACCACTATGTTTTAAAATTATAAAATGTGAGGATTATCTTTTGTGAGGGGTGGGCTCTGTGTTTGAAAGCAAAATTGTAGCATCTTTGAACAGGCAGCTGTGACTTCTTTTGTTTTTGTCCTCCCCTTTAAAGAGCGTCAGTAATGATAAAAAGAAAAGACATAAAAAAGTATTTTTGCTTTTTAAAATTTATTTTTGATGCTTAAAGCAGTTTGAAGGGGGAGAGTGCTGTGAGGCTCTAGCACTGGGTTACCTCTGGAGGTTTTTTTCGGGGGGGTGGGTTTGCAGCAGCCAAGTGTTTTATCAGATGCTCTCTGGGCGTCTTGGATTGTTCCTTCTCTCTGGTACTTAAAGCAAAGAAAGCTTTTGATTTAAATTTCTTTTTTTTCCTCTTCCCTTTTTAAAAGTACACAAAATACCCTAGTTGGCTTCATGTTTTAAGTGCCAGAGAAAGCATTAAGTTATACAGGAGAGAGTTTCTGGAAAGTGTTGAAGCACTGTGATCTTCTTGAACCTGTTCCATGTTTGTGTGACGGACGATCAAAGTGCTATGATTTGTCTTCAGCAACTCAATCCATTTTCCACTAGGGCAATCTTTATACGAGGTGTTATGAATCATTTTGAGGAAACAAAATTGTAAATGATTCATTGTTTACACTAATCGTTTACAATTATACAAAAAAAAGAAAATACTTTGCTTCATGGGTGGAGGAGGAGGAGGAGGAGGTAGACTTTGTGTTTCCCTTTTTGTTTTCCTTGAAATAGATTTTCAAGATTTACATTGAAGCAAAACCAAAAAAGGAGAATGTCGTATGAGTGGCACACTTAAATGAGAGGCATTCAGGTGTGTGTGTGTGTGTGTGAGGAGAGGCGGGATATGTGTGGGACTGTCTGAACAATGTGTGTGTGAGAGGTCATGAGACGTATGTTTGTGACAGGCTGAGTTTTGTTAATTGTTAGGTTTACATGCAGCTTCAATTAAACCTTATCTGTGGGGGAAAATAATTGTCCCATGAAGAGTTTGAGGCGGCATGTAAGCATAATTGTTTTGTCTCTTTTTTTTGTTTGTTTCTGGGTGTTTTTGTGTGCAGCCTCGTCTTGTGTTTTTGTTGGCGGTGTATCTTAAATATCAGTATGAGTGTTTAAAATGGTCAGGGATGTGATTTTTTGCCTTTCCATCTCCTGCTTCCTCCAGGAGTTCAAGTTTGTGGACATAAATCTCATTTCTAATGACAACTTTCCACTTTTCAGTTCTTTTTCTATGTTTTGTATCTCTGATCACATCCCTGACAGTTATTCCATGATCTCCTTTGTGATACAAAAAACAGCAGAGTACGCTGCGTCAGATTTATAGCTGAACCTATAAGGTGTTGAATTTTCCATGTTATTTTGGAGGAGGTAACATTTAAAAGTATCTCTAGGCTGTTGGAACTAACTAAATAATGTCATCCCAGACTTGTGCCCCTTTTTTTTTTTTTTAAGAACAACTTCCCTCCATTAAAACTTCATTTTTGCAGCTCCAGCAATCAGTTATAAGATTTTACTCGCCAAAGTAATTGTGGAGATCTCGGAACACACCAACGTCACTAAAAACAGCTGCAAGGTGGTGTTCTTGAAAGCTCAACTCTTAACTTTGGTAAGAACAGTTTCATCATACACATTTGTTCATTTAAGCTCTTCAACATGAATTTGTACATTTTGTGTTGGAGTAAACGTTCATTAGTGGTCACAAAGGAGGTTATGATGAATGCAGGTATGAATGTTGTGTGATGCGTTTGATTTTTGTCATTTGGTGTTGTCGAGACGTCTTTGTCTGTGTGAGCACTCTGGACTGTGGAGTCAGGAGAGCTGACGGGGGTGGGAGGGATATTTGTCAAACACTTGTTTGAAAAGGGTCATTTAAAAAAAAAAAAAATTTGAAAAAGGGTGAGGATTTGGGTATAAAATCGCAGCTTTGGGATTCTACAAATTCTATATTAAATGTAAAAAGTCAACACTAGACTTAAAACTAGTATTGCTGGCTGAACTGCCCCTAATATTTCTACTGTGCATTGCTAAATTGAATTGAATCCCTTAATTTGTTACACTAATGCAGACTCACCCACGCTTCAGGTGATTTCACCCAAACTTAATGAAGAACCCAGCAGAATTTATTGTAGTAAGCTGAGGGTTAAGTTACTGCAGGATTTCCCTTGCAATGTGGATATAAAACAGTGTGTTAAGACTCTAAATTGGCTCTCAAATTTTTTCATTTTAAATGCAGCTGTGGATAAAGTTGCAATCGTATTTGCTATACAACATGGAGGGGAAGGAGTGTTAATACATTTCGATTCTAAATTGGCTTGCAAAAATGTTGGTTCAGTTGATCCCTCATACTTAAAAATATTGTTTTCTTTTCATAAACAGTCAGTTTTTGAGTTGTTCAGTCTTCTTTGTACTCATTGGTACCTTGGTGGCCCCGATTCTTACAAAACAATTTCCAGCCCCACGTTCAAGTGAGTTACACCACTTTGGACTTCAGTTGTAAATTGACTACATGTTTAGGATGTCTGTTCATTTTCCTCCCTCACTGTCCCATGATTTCCTTTTTGTGCCATGAGAACTCGGTAATGATTTTTGGGGGGGTACAGCAAAAAAAAAAATGTAATTCTTGCATTGTTCATCTTTTTAATGCTTTTGTTTGTTTTCTTTCCTTACGAAATGCATTGAGAGGCACAAGGGTTTTCAACGACTTGTGTTAATCACTCTGTCCTCTACTGTTGTAACGTGGAAATACATGCAGGGGTTATAAAATTCAATAAATTGAACTTAAATTTATGCTGCCTGGTGTTTTCATTTAGCTTTTCCTATGTTTTATTATATTGAGGTCGTAGCTTAGCTGTGGTGTCAGCAGCCAGGTTACATCTATACTTACCTGAACAGAGAGGGATGCAGACAAGTTGGTGTGTAAGCCATTTTTAAAGGACTATTACCAATGTTTTTGTTAAGATATTTACTAGGGGGGGGGGGGGGGGGGGTGATTAATACAGCATCACGCCAAGTATACTTTTTTTTTTTTTTTTTTTATTGCCATAAAAATAAGCACTAGTAGCTAAATAATAGTGACTAGCAAAATGGAAATGGTTACTAGTAGCTAATGAATAGGTGATATCTGAACTGCTGGCAAAAATGTGCATTTAGTCACTAGTAATTAATCAAATGGTCATTATTAACCAAAAATGAAGTACAAGTATCTAATCAGTTGTTAGCAGTCAAACGGCAATTGTTACTAGTAACTAATAAGTACTTGTAGTTTTTAAAGAGCGACTAATAAGTTTGAAGGAATAAGTGTTAAAACCGGCTTTCCATACTGCCATTTGACCTTGAAGGTATCTTCTACACGCGTTGTGCTGTCTGCCGCCGACGTGACGGCTCTCCGCCAATCAATAACCTCAGACTATCACATCCCGCCCCTCTGGAACGGGCGTCACATCTATTAGCAAATAGTGTTTCAGTATGAGCGTGACATCATCAACACAAAGCCACGCCTTCGAGTCGTCAAGCAAGATAAATGACTGAGAGGTGTTTCGGCCAATCATTTTTGAGGGTCACGGTCCATCATCCAATCATAACGTGTCTTGAGAAAATAGGCGGGCTTTAGGGTCACTCACGTCTTCTTCTTCGGTGCTGCCGGATTCAACTTCCGGCTGTATCGTCCTCTGGAAATCACAACGTGAGTAGCAATCGTTACCAGTGTGCTTTATATAACAAGCGGTTTCACTGGAAACATCAACATATAACATATAAGCTGTTTTTTCGGCAGTTGCCATCTCACAAAGCGTCCTTTGATTCCCTTCACCAGCGCTTTGTTAAAGCTGCTCAGTAAAGAGCTAGCAAACGGCGCTAGGGAGCTAGCTTAGCTAACTTTTGCAGCCTGGCTTGTAGGTGAGGGTAACTGTTAGGTTTCATTCAAAGCATTACCTACAGATAATACAGAACGAGGCTAGTGATCATGATGGTCTTACCTATGTACATCACATAACGTTATTGATAGTTATTAGTAGCCGGTTTTTCTTACCTGCTACTATAACTTTATATGAATGAGCATGATCTGTGTGAAAGGTTAAAGGGGCACACCGGTTGTAAATTACACATAGAGATCAGTCTACTCATTATAGGAAGTATTACTCAGCCTGTGGCCACGGTTGTTTAGTGTCGTCTTCTGTTCTGAGGAAAGCTTTCTAAATACTAAGTGAATAACCCTGATGATATCATGGTATGCTGTGTTCTTGTTAAATGGGAAATGTCTGAAAGCTTGTATATTTCTGACTTGGATTTTAATGATATAAAAGTGCCTGCTATAATGTCAGTGTACCATCTTATGACGCCTGAAATGAGAAATCTGCAGTCATACAACTGTCTTGAGTTGAATGAGGTGTGTTGAGGTGACCATCTCTCCTTCAGGGCACGAATGCTTCATTGTAGACTTAAAAAAATTTAACTAAAGGTCTGCATTAAAAATTGGACATGTGGAGTTTGAAAGACATGGGCATGATCCAGGTATGGAAGGTTTAATGAAAGACTATTGAGTTGCATTATGTGAACTTGAGGATGCAGAATGTGAGGAACTGGATCTACAGCTTTAATGTTATCTCCTGTGTTGATGTACCTGCTGATACTCAGTGACGCAAACAGCCAAATACTGCTTTCATCCCAGTCAGTCAGTCACCCTTTCTCTTGCTTTATCCCTTAATTTCTCTCTGGCAGAATGGGCAGTGTTTTGGCTGCCAGCTCCCCAAACCCTCCACCACCAGCCTCTGGCGGTGCTCCCGTCCCAGGGTTGACGGTGCCGCCAGGCTTTGGGATGCCTCCAGTTTCCTCAGTTATCACCCCCAGCGAGGCAGCCTCAGGACATGAGCAGGAAGAGAACTCGTTGCCTAACCCGGGAACATTCGATGAGTGTCATCGCAAGTGCAAAGGTAAATAAAATATACACTAAAATGGAAAATCAGTAAAAATAGAAGACTGGGTAGACATTTCAAGATACACCGTGTTATAAATTACATTTATAATGTGGTCTGTGAGAACATTATGGAGCTCTGAACATAGCAAGTAGAGCCCGACTGAGAAATCATTGTGCCGATATCATCGGCTCATATGAACTAACTGCAGATATATCTGTTTCAAGCAGCCGATAAATGTCAGTTAAAGTTCCAGTGTGTTATATTTAGGATCTATTGACAGCAATGCAATATAATATCCATAACTATGTTTTCAGTGGTGTATAAAGAATGAGTCATTTCTATCTTCATATACCGCGGGTCCCCTTACATGGAAGTCACAAAGTTTCTCAAAGTCACCAAGTTTCTGCAGTAGCCCAGATAGACAAACTGCTCTACAGAGCACATTGTCAGTATGTTGAATACTTATGAAGTAGTAGTTGTAGTACTCGTCGTTGTCGTCTGGTTTGTCGGAACAAAGAAGCGACATAAAAATTTGGACAAAGGGAGACCCACACGTAATGTTTAGCACAAGAGCTGACTGAGTGTGTAGGCAACCAATCAATGCGACACACACACCAGCGATCCACACAGCTTTCTCTTGATTTAAGTTAAAACGTTTCAACATTCCTCAGAATGTAAAGACAGATAAGCGGTATGAAAACCTTCCAGCTGTGTTTTCCTCTGCCGTTGTTGCTGCAGTGGTCTGTGTGACGGGAGCAGAGGGCTCTGTGAGCGGGCGGCTGGCCGGCCTCACACACTCATCCTGCGGGTTGGTACAGGCTTCTCCCGCAGCCACTTGCGGAGCTCCTCAACTCATTTGAGCATATATTTTTTTTCCCGCCATCACTTCTCGTAAAACTGTCAATATTCGAAATCTACACAGTTGATTTATCACCTCGAAACTTCTCAGAAGTGGATTTAGTGATGAAATAACGTATGAAAATTGTAAAATATAATACTTTCTGCTGCTGGCCTCTGTCCAGGGCGCACAATGAAGCAGTGAATAGTGTCGATTCTCTCTGACCAGTCAGCAGTCTGCTGTGTCTTCACATTACATTTTAGTATCGCCTCAGCTCGCTTGAATCCTCGACGGAGGTGATACGAAAAAAAGTACCTGGTAGCAGCTACAGGTACAACTTTTCCACAATAGAAAACCAAAAGAAGTAGAGTTGAGGCGAGTCAAGCTGGTACTGTGCAGTGGAAAAGGGGCTTTAGTTCAAAGTACTATTTATAACAATATACAAAGTTTAATTTTAAGCTGTGTTATTACATTTAATCTTGCTGAGGTCTGTTAACTACACATAGCAAATGTTAGGAATAATCTTTGTTTATGTTATGTGTTTCTGAAAAGAATGCCTGCAGATTTATTGGAATATTGGATTTTAAAATCCTAAAATATCCTAAAAGTGCCTGCAGTGTGGATTTCCTGTGTCTTATCTGCATGTGTTTTTGTTCTCAGAGGTTTTCCCCATGCAGATGGAAGGCGTCAGGCTGGTGGTCAACAAGGGCCTTAGTAACCACTTTCAGGTGAGTTTTTACACTAGAAATTTTTACTACACAAATCAAGACTGTTTTTAAGATTAACTGATACACAAAATATATCCTTACTGTGTGAAAAGCTCTTTTTTTTTTTATAAGACTTTAGTCTGGAACACATCCACTGACCTCTCAAAACTGATAATTGATCTACATGTTGGTGCCTTGTTAAACGCAGGTTCATCAGTCTTTTGGTAGTGTGAAAATAAATAAGCAATGATAAAATCAGTTCAATTAAAGACTAAAGAAAGTGAAGTGCAAACGTTTTTAATTGTGTCCTTTTTTTTAAAACCCTCGTTAAGGTGAATCACACTGTGCTGCTGAGCACTATGGGAGATTCCACCTACAGGTTTGGTGCTACATACGTTGGATTAAAGCAAGCAGGTCCAGCAGAGGTATGCTGCAGTAAAATCACTGTGAATCTCATCTGACATTTATATTTTCTTTTATATATGAACTGTGACATAAATGCTCTGCTCTTTTTTTGTTCAGTTTTTTCCGGTCATGGTGGGAGACATGGACAACAGTGGCAGCCTTAACGCGCAGATCATCCACCAGGTCTCCAACAGAATACGATCCAAATTGGCCTTCCAGGTAAAACCAATTTTTTTTAATTCCCTGTTTAAATAACTTTAATACCACTGTAACCTGACCATAGTGTACTAGTATACTTCTTCTATTTTATTTCTTTTTAATTCCCCTGATTTCTCTCAGCATGCATGATGTAAACCGGAGCTAGAGTGATAGATCTGCCTAGCCTTTTCGCAGATAAATTGCATTGGCATATAAAAATTCCATTAAATTTAGATTCAGTTGCCTCATTACAAAGTTTGTCCACCAGGGAGCACTGGAAAGTATTTTCTTTGGTTATGTTTTTTTTTTTACAATGTAAAATGTCTTGATCACAATTCTTAAATAATCAAATTAAACAGATCTTTACCAAAAATGCTTGCATATGTGATGTTGATGATCAGATTTTTAAAAAAAATCTCTGTATCAATCTTCAAAATGTAGTCTGGTAAAGTGTTAACTTTGTGAAAATCTGTGATGTCCGCAGACACAACAGCAGAAGTTTGTGAACTGGCAAGGTGATGCTGAGATCCGGGGAGAAGATTTTACTGCAACGATTACTCTCGGAAACCCAGATGTCCTTGTTGGCTCTGGTAGGTCTTCAGTGAGTAATGCTGCATTGAGGATCCTGTCTGCTGAAAAGTTACCGTTTTGTCATCCAACGACTAAAATTGGGTTATGTCTGCAAATGTGTTAGGATAGTTTTTGATTTTCCAAAAGTAGATATCTATGTTGACCAAAACAACCTCATATAATCTTGCTGTTGTCCGCCCGTCAGGTATTGTTGTAACACACTACCTCCAGTCCATAACGCCGGCTCTGGCTCTGGGAGGGGAGCTGGTTTACCACCGAAGGCCAGGAGAGGAAGGCGCAGTGATGTCGTTAGTTGGCAGATACACAGGTGAGACATGTTATGTAAGCTGTTGACTGGACTCATAGCTTCTCCTGGATCCTATTTACTCGGACTTAAAGTGGTGGTATTGTGGTTTTTGGCTTTTTCCTTCTCCTTTATTGAGTTGTATATCTTTTTTGTGCATGTAACAGGTTTGCAAAGTGAAAAAGCCCAAAGTCCAGCCCAAAGGGAGTTCCCATCTCCTACAGAAAACTCTGCTCTGAGCTGCCTGAAAACAGCTCGTTTGTAGTCCAGCCTTTACTTCTGCTTTCTTGTGATGTCACAATGAAAATATGTGTCATAATGCTCGCTGCGCTACTAGTCCAACACGCCCTCAAAAGCACCGGTGGAAAAACCCTGAGCTGCAGCACACACCTCTCCTCTCCCTTCCAAACACTAACCACCCTCCAGGCAGTCAATGGACATGAAGTTGTTAGTGTGATGTAGAGACAGAGCTCAGATAAAACTTAATGGATGAAAGATACATTTGTTACAGATCAATAACTCATCACTCTGAAACTCTTGCTCCAGTCCATACATGTAGCCTACAGTTGAATCGAAGCCGTTTACCTTCTTTTCGCTGACCCGCCTTTCTCTGCTTCTGATTGGCTAGTAGTCCTTAACTAGGAACTGCGCATGTGCAACTCCCAACAAAGATCATTTAGAGACGAGATGTATCACTACATAGCTAAAACTAAGCCTTCAACACAGGGTGAGATGAGGAGCTGCAGCAATGTGCAGTATGACAAAAAATATGGTGTTTTTTTGAAAATTAAACCATGTAAACTGGTTCTGGTACAACCCCTAAATAAGATTATGAACCTGAAAATGAGCATAATACCACCTCTTTAATGAGACCATACATTTGTTTATTTATTTTTTGTTAAACTAGTATTGACTTGATCTCCCCCTGCACAGGCAGTAACTACATCGCCACTTTGACACTCGGCTCAGCGGGGGCTCATGCTTCATACTATCACAAAGCCAATGAGCAGGTAACTTTGCTGCCTTTTATTTTTCCCATTTGTCAGACTCAGTGTTTAATTTGGTTGGAAGACCACATGGCTGATTATTGAGGCAGTTTTAGGTGAGAGAAAATTCACCTTAGGAATCAATATTTCTTATATTCATATATTTATTTCTCTTTTGAGGAGGACATATGACTACCTTCAAAAAATGAGTCCAGATATTATGTTACTTTAGTATATATGTACTACTGGCTTTCAAATAGCGTGTGTGTGTGCGCGCGCAGTAAAGCCAACCTCCTTGATAATTACATATGTATAATGTAAATGCTCCCTGACTGTGTTTTACCTGTTTGTGTATCCTTGCTTATAGCGTTTTTCGTGTATCTGCATTCATCATGATCTAACGGTCTGTCTCTTCAACAGTTGCAGGTCGGTGTGGAGTTTGAGGCGAGCACCCGCATGCAAGACACCAGTGTGTCATTCGGCTACCAGCTAGACGTGCCTAAAGCCAATTTACTGTTTAAAGGTACCACGTGTGTACACTCGATGTCAGGGGAAAAACTTAAATATACAGTGCATTCATTACCACAGCTGTACAAAGAACTTTTTTTACCAGCCAAAGGAAAATCTAAATGTTTTTTAATTATTATTATATTATTATATTTATATTGAGTTGATGGATTTACAAGCCTTTGTTAAACAGCAGGTGACTGTATCCTGGATCCTCACTGTATTTGTAGACAGATAAAACGACTGAGCAAATTTCCCAAAATGCTGAACTATTCGTTCAAGAATTGTTACTGTTCCTCGGCCTTGTCTGTGAAATATCATGCAAATGATGCATATTTGAATTGAAACTGAGTTTTCCAAGAGAGGGAAAAGGGAGAAAATCCTAAGGAGAAGTTGGATATTGCCACAGAAAAATGGCCTATATACAAATGATTTTGTGTTGTTACTTTTTCTTTAGAATGCATTTTTTAAATGACACAGGCATACATATGTGCAGACATGTTTTTATGAAATGTATTGATCTTGATAATTAAACCATCTTCTCCGTCTCCTATTCCTATCCTTTCAGGTTCAGTAGATAGTAACTGGGTCGTTGGTGCAACGTTAGAAAAGAAGTTGCTCCCGCTGCCGCTCTCTCTGGTCCTCTGCACCTTCCTCAACCACCGCAAGAACAAGTTCCAGTGTGGTTTTGGCGTCACTATCGGTTAGACTGACTGAGCCGCAGGTTATCGACCCGTAGACTGACTTCCCAGAACAGACAGACTCACTATGGACAAGCAGATTATACCACATGCAACACTTGTGTCCCATCACCTCATTCTGTCACTCGACTCTGCCAATGTCATGTTATTGGTTTCCCAGACTGTCACATCAAATGTTGGTGATTAGAAGGGAATAATGTAAATCCAATGCATTTAATGCTATAAGATGAATTGTCTGATTGATTAGAAGTGTAACGTATGATTGGTCAGGAATTTGGACTGTAGAAAGACGTAACACATTAAGAGACATTACAGAATCACAGAGCTCTTTGTTTGTCACTGAGTTCAGTGCCTGTCCAGTTTTGAATTTTATTCATGTTCTTTTGTTTGTTTTTTTTACTGTAAAGTCTGTCTTGGCGTGCAGTGAATGGATTTGTTGTCATTTGCTTGTTTAAAGGTGATTTATTGGTTAAAGACAAGTTTACCAGCTATCAGGAAGTAGTGTACTGTACCGCATGTCACGTGTACAACCCATCACTTGTTTTGTTGCCTTTTTTTTATGTTACATACATATGGAACCGTATATATATGACCTGTATATACCTCTTGGAAACGGATAAATAACATTTCTTACAAAAACTGCATGTGTTTGGTCGTTTCCTTCAGTCATCTCGTCTACTCTTTTCTATTTTTATTTATTTTTTTTTTTTTAAGTCAGTCTAACATTTTAAACCACTGATCCAGGTACTGAAAACGGAGAGTAGAAAACCAAACTAAAAACAATTTCAATTTACACAAAAGTGGGGGAAAGACATGAGAAATGTCTCAAGCAACATCTACATGCCATTCATCGTTCCCACAATCTTGACCAAAATGTTTGTCTCCCCCACCAGCCATTAATGTAAAATGACATTCGGTTACTCCTTCACTGTGAACACTAGTAATTTATTTGCACCTCGATTTCCTATCTTTACCTTAAATGTTGGCACAGTGTCAGTGCTTATGGCCTTTTAAATAAATACAAGTTTTGAAATATATTATAGAATATATTATTGTATGAACACCATTAGATCCAAGTGTGTTTTTTTTTTGTTTGTTTTTTTTTAGGATTACGTGTGCGACCTTTCGTTTAAAAAAAACAAAAAAAAAAAAAAAAGATTGTTTGATACTGCTCGTGAAGTGTTGGACTTTACTAAGTAAGAAAACCTTTTTGTAAATAATTGGGGTCCCTGCGTGCCCTTTATTAGCGTAAATAAATATATTAAGAGGAAGTCCGATTAGTCTGCTGCTCTGATTTGAGTTGGAATTTGTGAAATGCATTCATGAATCTGGTAATGACATTGAAAACCATTTTCAAACGTATGTTTACGTTGTTTTTTTTAAATGCACATGCAGGAAAGATACTTGTTATGTATTCGCAGTGTGCGCATTCCAACTCCTGCATAGGTGACTGTAGACTTTCAGAGGGAACTCTGTGACGGCCCTAGGTTTGTGCCCTCTTTTGTTCTTTGTATCTTGCTGTGTATCTATAGGTAGGCAGTTGGTGGGTGGAGCTGATACTTTGTGTGAGATTCAACACACCTGAGCCCCACCTGCTCAGGTGGCTGTAAAGGATCCTGCATGATGATTTGACTGTCTCTTTTCCTGGCCTGCCAACTGATTCTGTTTTGTTTCTTTGTGTTATACACCCATACACTCCACTCACACATACACTGCATGCATACTGACCTGACAAACACCTACAAATGTATATTTTACTTATTTTACTTATTAAAATATCTAGTATTTTCAGACTGTGGTTTCCCTTTTTTGTCACATACTGTTGAGCCAGGTTGTGACAGTTGAGTTTAAGTAAAGCATGAGCACAGAAAAGTTTTTTTGTTTTAAATCACATTTTGTAATCCTTTAGCATGTTGCCCAAACGCCCTTCAGTAGTGTGTTTGCTAACACAGGATGAACCTGTGAGAGACAGTAATTTGGTCAAATGCTTTTTTTGTAATGGGTAGTGTTGGTTTCTAACTGTCAAACCCAACACAGGAATAAAAACTTGCTCAGCAATGTATTGTGTAAATACAGTAACACTGTCTCTGGGTTTGAATCACTCATCTGTGAAAAAGTCATCCATGTTAATAAAGACACCAACAGTCTGAACTTCTTCATTACATTTTTATTTAATGAGATGGTAGAGTTAAATATTTGGTGTGTGGAGGCTGATGGTGGATCCCATTTACTGGGTCTTCTTGGTGAAACTCTCCAACAGAACAGCCAGCTGAGCCTGCAGGTCCTGAGCGCTGGCGTCCAGCTTGGACTTCAGCTCCTCTCCGTATGGAGCCAGGTTCTGCTGGATCTCCTGGGTTTTCTGGGTCAGCTGGGTCTCAAAGCTCTGGGCCAGGGGGATCATGCTCCTCTGAAACTCCTCCAGGCTCTGCTCCATCTTCTCCTTCATCTCCTCGGTGTAGGGAACCATCTGGGCCTGCAGCTCGTTCACGCGATTATCCAGCTGCCCCTTCAGCTCCTGGCTCTTCTGTAGCAGGACGGCCTTCAGGGCCTCGGGATCCATGGCCTCAACGTAGGGGGCCGCCTCCTTCTTCAGCTCCTCCACCTGCCTCTGGACGTGCGCCACCATCTCCTCAGCGTAGGGCTGCAGGTTAGTGCTCACGGTGGTCAGATCCTTCTCCAGGCGTGCCTTCAGCTGCTCAGCCTGCTGGGAAAACTGATTCATGAAGTCCTGCGTCAGAGGAGCCACCTGAGTTTGCAGAGCAGCGACGTACTGATTCACTGTGTCGGCGCTCTGAGAGATCCTGGTACTGACAAACACAGTAAGAAAGACAAAACAGTTATTTAATTGAAACGTACACTATATTTCTAATGTCATTGGGCTTCTTTATCAATTTGAATCTTACTTCACTTCCTGTCCCAGCTCAGACTGTCTGATCTGGGTCAGGGAGTCCTCGGCCGTTTGTGTTGCCTTAGCAACGTAGTCCCAAAAAGCATTTTTCACAATGTCCAGACTGGTCTTGGGCGGCTCCTGCCACAGGATGTTGGCATTGCAAACTGTGCAGAAAACAGCAGATTTAGCACCTATAAAAGTTTTGGTATACACGGATCTGTCTTTTATTCAAAGGAAAAACTCACCAGAGAAAAGTGCGAGAACCACAAGTACCTTCATGATGGAATTTGACTCTGTTGGATAAAGAAAATAAATGTGATTTAAAATAATGACCATTAATTTAGTCATGAATTTATGAAACATGTTCTAATAATAATAACAAAAGGTGTTACCTTGCAGAGGTGTCTCTTCCTCACTCTGTGTCTGATGACTTGTGTTGTGCAGACGGCCGTTCAGAGTCTATATAGCCATATTGAAGGGTAAAGTCCTTCTCCGGTTGCCCTGCTGGACGGATTCTTGTCACTACTCTCATTCCACGTCATAATTTAAGTGTCATCGCCTTTTTCATCCTGTGAGATATATTCTCTGGCATCTGAATGGGTTATGCAATCTTTTAAAGTAGTCATGCATTAACTTCAATTTTAAAGTAGCAAATAAATGTAAGGAAAAGGCCCCAAAACTTAAAGCTGTATTGATTGATTTTTGTTGGCATCTTGGGGGCAGTGCAAAGTTGGTATGGCTAACTCATTAGCAAACACATCCAGCAGATACAGAGCAACATTAGCATCTGGAGTCATTGTGTCTGGCCCCGTGGCGATGAGTCCAATATTCACTCTCCTTTTAGCTCTTTTTTTAATCTCTACCAACTCTTGAGGGAAATATCTGGCTCTTTAGCCGCTAAATGCTCCACTATGTTCACCACCTTGTCTCTAAGTTTGTCTGTCTGTCATTTGGCGCTTAGCAGATAGAGTACAGTGGGTATTTAGAGCTTAAATTAGGTTGATGAGAGCACTAAGACAATGAGCTGAAAGGTGTTAAAAACTTCTATACAGCTGCAATGAACTGATGAGTTGCATGAAAATGCTCTGTTGGTTCGTCACTACGAGTGATATGTTTCATATAACACCAAGTCATTTAACTTTTTGCTAATGTAAAAAAAATGATTATTGCAGCTTTAAGCAAAAAGAAGCACAGAAGTATCAGCAGTTACAGAGGCAATACATAAATGTTACTGATGTCATTAGCTCACCTGCACCTGTGTGCACTGGACTTGTGGGTAAAATGTTCATGTGCCTTTTGATTATTGATGTGCCACAAATACATTGATTATATGGATTGATGCCTTTTATAATGTTTGATGCTTATGTATGATTGTCTGATTGCTCCCCTTTGTATTGTTGCTTTCATTATTAATTTTATTAATATTTGTGACTTTCTCTGTGAAAGGTGCTACATTAAATAAATTTTACCTACTTACTTACTAACTAAAATCTGTAATAAAAGGCCTAAAGTAGACAGAACACTGAGGAGGAGACACAAAAAGCACAAATTGGTCTAAATTGGTCTTCTGTGAGGCATTTTTGGCAACAAGGACTATCGTCTTAAGTATTCCTGAAAATGTTGTGGAAAAGTAACTTTTTTCCTGTTATTGAATTGAAAATGTGAAACTTCCACACAGTATATTCTAGATTCATTACACATAAAGTGAAATATTTTAAGCCTTTTTTGAGATGCACCTGTAACTAGTTTCAAGGTCTACGTGTGCGTCATATGAAAACACCTGGGCGTTTCTCAGTAGTTTCTCCTGGGAAGAAGACTTTAGCTCATACGTCTTATCAGGGAATCATTGTACAAGAAAACATAACATTCCTTCGTAACGGTAATCTGCAGTTCAGAACTGGATCAAAGTCCTGCTCACAATTCACTGACATATAAAACGTCTGAAAACAATAGCTTGTCTACGTAAAGTTGACATTCAGCTGAATCAATATGTTTACTGTCCTTCATAAGTAACAATAGAGTAATCAACAGAAACAATGCAGTGATTGAACCGTATGTCACAACAGAGTGAAATATTAACAACCTCGTAGTCTTATCTGCTGACTGTTGAGATCATCACCGTCTTTACGCATGTCATAAATGAGTAACCCAAAATCATGTCTCCTGACTGTTGTTTCACTAATTTGAATTAAATGCACCCTGGTTAATGTGTAATCTACCTGATGGCTTTATATACATTCTGTGATATTGTATATTTCCTGTGTATATTTTAGGTTGCAATTTTAATGTTAGCACTGTCCCTATCAAATAAACAAACAAAAACTTAAATCGTAGGCTATAATATGATTCTGGTCAGTGTAAATGACAAGAGCCCAATAAACAATGCCGAATAACAAACAAATTAAAAAAGAAAGAGGGGCTATCAGTTGAAAATCACAGGTCAAAAGCAAAAAGGTTAGAGAAGATTAAAAAAAAAACATTTAGGCCGTCCTGCTACAGAAGAGCCAGGAGCTGAGGGGGCAGCTGGATAATCGCGTGAACGTGCTGCAGGCCCAGATGGTTCCCTACACCGAGGAGATGAAGGAGAAGATGGAGCAGAGCCTGGAGGAGTTTCAGAGGAGCATGATCCCCCTGGCCCAGAGCTTTGAGACCCAGCTGACCCAGAAAACCCAGGAGATCCAGCAGAACCTGGCTCCATACGGAGAGGAGCTGAGGGCCAAGCTGGACGCCAACACCCAGAACCTGAAGACAAAGCTGGCTGCTCTGTGGGAGTCCTTCACTAAGTTGACCAAATAAACGGACTAACATCTATAATTACTCAGTTATGTATTGTTTCTACTGCCTGATTGTTAGTTATCTCTGCTGAATGAGCGTGGTGTTCATGGGACAGATAAAAAGTGCAATACCTCATTTTCTATGTTTGTATGTTGATGAAAGATGCTGTGAAAAACAACCTTCTAAGTAATGTCAGTATTTAACTATAACTTACTTATAACTATAAGCTGCCATCTGCAATACAATAACAATAAACAGGTTAAATGTGTTTTATGCTGTCACTTATATTCATATCTGAAGAATAATTTTTAAAAATAGCATTTGGGGGCTAGGGCGGCCCAGTGGTCCAATGGATAGCGCGACCCCCGGGCCGCAGAATAAGCGATTGACGATCGATCGATCGATCGATCATTTCTCTACACATCTTTCTATCAATTTTACTAGACTAGAAAATTGTTTAGTGGGAGGAAGTGCAGATGCTGTGAACATGTTAGCATGCTAAAGGTAGCATTTAGCTTAAAGTGCCTCAGAGAGGCTGCAGACTGTTTTTCAAGTTATTCTTATTATCAGTTATTATTGTTTTGCCAATTTTTCCAATTATTGAGTGTTCACTACAGTCTCAAACTTTTGGCAACAAAATCAAGTTTCAAATAATATGTTTAAAGACATTTAAAAGACATTACAACAGATTTCTTTACAATAAAATACCTGAGCGAAATCTTTACTCTGAAAGCTGTCTGCATAATGTATAATGTACATGAGGGTTTTATCAGGTAGTGGTGATGTCCTCCCTGATTTTCCACTGTTGGCACTGTTGTGATGTGGAAGCAGTAGTGACAGCAAATCACTCAGCGGTGGACTTTACTCCTGTGTCTCCTCTACAGGACTCAGCAGCCTTTATATACTCAGTCATGAGCAGTGCAGAACACACTCTCTGTACTCAGCTGCTCCCTGACCAAACAGCCAGCTCATCCACACAGGTAAGACAGCAGTAAGAGGATGTCACTTTGCAGGTTGCGAGCTAAATAACAACAAAAAGCTAATTTTGCATGCTTGTTTTTAAGCTGCAGTGTCAGCCATGAAGGTCCTCCTGGTGCTCGCCCTCGCTGTTTTCACTGGTAAGGTTTGCTGATTTAGGTGAAACTCAACTTGTAAAAAGTTGGAACAAGATGTGACAATAAATGCTTCGTCGCCTCCGGGCTTTCAGCAGGTTGCAATGCCAATATTTTGTGGCAAAACCAGCCCGAGCGGCGGGTCGACATGGTGAAAGATGCTTTCTGGGACTACGTTTCCAAGGCAACCATGACGGCCGAGGACTCCCTGCAGCAGATCAGACAGTCGGAGCTGGGAAAGGAAGTGAAGTGAGTTGAAGATGCGCTTGTTAAAGATTATTAACTTTTCATATTTGAGGGGTTTTCTTATTGAGCCCTGCCCACTTTAAACCAGTCCGGTAAAAGAGCAAAAAGTAAAACAGAAAGTTGTTTGTTCATTTTTGTTCATTACTCTACTAACCTAATAAGCTAATTGGGAAGTTTATTCATCACTGATTTTTGTTTGAATAATTTGTAGTTCATCTTTGAGAAGATGATGAATAAGGTTGCAACTAACGATTATTTTCAGTCTTGATTAATCTGGCCATTATTTTCTTGATTAATCGATTAGTTGTTTGGTCTATAAAATGTTGATCAGTGTTTCCTAAAGCCCAAGATGACCTCCTCTAATGTCTTGTTTTGGCCACATCCTAAACATATTCACTTTACTGTCATAGAGGAGAACCAGAACATGTTTACATTTAAATTGCTTAATTTAAAGTCTGTGTGTCTCTGCAGCACCCTCATCTCTGAGAGCACCAACGCCGTCAACAAGCTCACCGACGCTCTCCGTACTCGGGTGGCTCCTCTGACCCAGGACTTCATGACTGCATTTTCCCAGCAGGCTGAGCAGCTGAGGGCCCGTCTGGAGAAGGATCTGACCACCGTGAGCACTAACCTGCAGCCCTACGCTGAGGAGATGGTGGCGCACGTCCAGAGGCAGGTGGAGGAGCTGAAGAAGGAGGCGGCCCCCTACGTTGAGGCCATGGATCCCGAGGCCCTGAAGGCCGTCCTGCTACAGAAGAGCCAGGAGCTGAAGGGGCAGCTGGATAATCGCGTGAACGAGCTGCAGGCCCAGATGGTTCCCTACACCGAGGAGATGAAGGAGAAGATGGAGCAGAGCCTGGAGGAGTTTCAGAGGAGCATGATCCCCCTGGCCCAGAGCTTTGAGACCCAGCTGACCCAGAAAACCCAGGAGATCCAGCAGAACCTGGCTCCATACGGAGAGGAGCTGAGGGCCAAGCTGGACGCCAACACCCAGAACCTGAAGACAAAGCTGGCTGCTCTGTGGGAGTCCTTCACTAAGTTGACCAAATAAACGGACTAACATCTATAATTACTCAGTTATGTATTGTTTCTACTGCCTGATTGTTAGTTATCTCTGCTGAATGAGCGTGGTGTTCATGGGACAGATAAAAAGTGCAATACCTCATATGTTTGTATGTTGATGAAAGATGCTGTGAAAAACAACCTTCTAAGTAATGTCAGTATTTAACTATAACTTACTTATAACTATAAGCTGCCATCTGCAATACAATATCAATAAACAGGTTAAATGTGTTTTATGCTGTCACTTATATTCATATCTGAAGAATAATTTTTAAAAATAGCATTTGGGGGCTAGGGCGGC